TACACTGCTGCCCAGGCAGTGACCTGCCCCAGCTCCACGTGCAGGGGCTGCCCCTGCTCCTGAGAGTGCAGCAGCCCGGAATCCCAGCCTGGCAGTCCTCTCCATCAGGCAGCTGCCACAAAGAGATTAAGAGGGGTGGGTTGTTTCCCTTCCATCATCCAGCAGCCAGTAAACCATGGCCTGCCAGGCCACCACAGCTGCAGGCAGAGCTTCTTGCTGGCACACGTAGCCCTTTTGTGTCCCCATAGTCACCTCCTTCAAAAGACTCTCTTGGCTCCTCCTGAAATGGCCTCGTCCAGAGGAGCATCTTCCCCTGCACGCAGATCCAGGCTCAGAAACTGCAGAGGAGCAGTTCAGAGCCAGGTCTGATGCAGAATTTATCTATCTATTTGTTTACATCCACAAAGAAGGACGTGTGTGTCTGTGTGCTCTGCAGGACTCCTCTAGCTGCTCCAGTGGAGATGCAGTTGTTCTGTTTAAGAGGATTTTGGTAAAATGGGTGTTGCTTCTTCCACTGCTGTACAACTGCACTGTAATGGGTCTGGTCCCTGTGATGCTTTAGAGGCTGGAGATCTCGTGTGTGCTTCCCCAGCATGGTTCAAAAACAAGACACACAGAAGTAACAATCATAAATATACAACTTTAAAAAAAAAAAAAAATAAAAAAATCTCTGTTAAAGGTTTATTGCAATAATACAATAAAATTTAGAAAAACAAAAACAAAACAAAAACATTTGTGTTTAGTTACATCTAGTTTGGAACTTGCAGAGAGAGGCCCTGGGTTTTTGAAGGTGACAAGAGACCCTTGGGTGTCCCATCTGAGACCTGTCAAAGGCACGCCTGGGCTCCCAAATTTGGGCTCTTCCTTGGCAGCTCAGATCACCCATCACAGAGAAAAGTCCAGGCCTGAGCTGCAGTTCCCACAGCCATGCTACACGAGAGCGTTCTGTAAACCCTCACCTGGCTGTCTTCAAACCTCTATCATCACAGATATTCCTGCCCTCCCTCCCCTGCCCCCAAAACAACCTGGGAAGCTAATCCTGGCCATTGCACTCAAGGTTTGGACACACACAATTCTTCCTGTAGCTACACATGTGCAAAACACTTTAAAAAACACCCTCCCCTCCCCAGTCTGTACTCTGTGACACAAACATTTTTGAGAAGACCCATCCCAAAGCATTTTAACCCCCCCCAATTGTGCTGCTGTGCACTTTCAGAACATGACGTGGCTGCAAATAAATTATTTGGAAAACGTGATGAAGTATATGGCTTAAAATGTTGTTGGCTTTTTCTTTTTTGTGTTTTTTTCTTGCCCTAAGGAATTGACAGGGCATGAAGCTGAATCACAGCCTGACCTTTAGGGGTTCAAAGTAGCACAAAGGCAGCAATGAAAGAGGGACTGAAATGTGTATTCCAAACCAAAGACTAAAAAAAAGAAAAGATATTTATATGGTGGGGTCCAGTGCAAAAGCAATGGGGAAGCAGAAGGGGCTGTGTGACTCTAAGAGCCCAATATACAGTACTGCTGTGTGCTGGTTGCTCAGAACTGCAAAGGATCTGCCTGCTGCAAGGAGTAAAGTGCTGTGAACCCAGCGGTGCCCGAAATCTTCCTGGCATCAAGGTGGGGCTGGGGGCTACTGGCCCCACTCAGGCTGCAGTAGTCAAGGGAGTTGTGGCTGTTCTCTGAAAACCAACCCACCCTTTGGATTCAGCCCAGAGGAGCAGTGGAGTCGAGGGTGTATTCATCTAACAGTTAGTGAGGTGCTGAGGGTCTTTGGTTTAAAATAAAGAACTTAAAAACTACTGCCAACAGATGCCCATCCCCAGGGCCAAAGAGAGTGAGCTGCCAGGATAGGGGTGGGGGAGAGGTGATGCTCAGCTGGGACCTGTGGGTATGCAGGTGTCAGTCCCCAAACCCCTTCTTCACAGCCTCCCTACAGGGTAGAACTCTTCCCTCTGGGAGGGACAGGACGTTTCTCAGCTCACCCCGTGGAGAACTGCAATGATGTCCCAGCTACCTCCCTCAGATGTAAACCATGAGCTGGAAGCTTCACACAGCAAGCCCACCTTGAAGTGTCAACACCAGGCAGGGGAAGCAGAGGAGCCCTTCTCAACCGTGTCCCTCCTCATCCCACCTCCTGGTTTCACAGGCCAGCCAGCCACGCTGTGAAGTGCAGCCGAAATGAAACCGACTTCTTGGCCTTCAGTAAACAAGAAAAAAAACCCCAAACAAACCCCACCATAAACATAAAATACAGGGTTTAAAACGCGTGTAGTGTGGAGAGCGTGTGGCTTCACTAAACTACCTTGAAATGAGGTTTTGCTCCTAGTAAACAATGGCAACACGGCGTTGTAACTGATGAGTATTATTGCAACGATGCAATCCTGGATCAGCATCAGCTGTGGGTCTGGCTAAGAGAACGTCCAGTGTTTTCTTTGGTGTGTGATATTGAGAGTAAAGAGCCTGGGTGCTTTGGACAGCACAACACGAAACTTCTAGACTACCTACCAGTGGAAGCAGCATGAATGAAGCCAGTTTCCTGGGTCAAGGTTCACAACCAAATGTAAAACAAGAGCAATCTGCTGCGTGAATTCCCGTCCATGCTGATTCTTTGTATTAAAAATATGGCAACAGAGATTAGAAAACATGTTAAAAATGCATAATTTTCACGTCCTGAATGAAAAAAATTTA